TAGCTTGTACACATGCTCAGGACATTCCTTGCTTTCAAACCCTGGAGGTTGTTTCACAAACACTTCTTCTTTCAGGTAGCCATTTAGGAAGGCACTTTTGACATCCATCTGATGAAGAGAGAATTCCATATGTGCTGCAAAGTCTATGAGAAGTCTGATTGCCTCTAGTCTTGCAACTGGAGAAAAAGTCTCATCATAATCTATGCCCCCCTCTTGGCTGTAACCTTGGACCACCAGTCTTGCCTTGTTTCTTGTAACAGTTCCATCTTCATCAAGTTTGTTCCTAAAGACCCATTTTGTACCAATGACTAATCTATCTTTGGGCCTTGGAACTAGATGCCAAACTTGACTTCTCGCAAATTGATTGAGTTCATCTTGCATTGCATTGACCCAATCTGCATCCTGCAAAGCCTCAACAACATTTTTAGTTTCAATAAGAGATTAAAAGGCATCAAAAGCACACAGATTCTTTAGTTGTAATCTAGTTTTGACTCCAGATGTTGGATCAGTGATAATGTTCTCAATAGGATGAGAACTTTGATACTTGTGAGGTTTCACAACCAACTGGTTCCTACTAGCTGCTTCTCCCATGTGTTGTTGCTCAGGAACAGGGTCATGAACAAGTTCTTTTAGGGGATTTATTTCAGTTCCTCTTTGATAAGTTCCCCATGTCAGGTTGCCCTGGATGGAAGAACCTGGTCCATCACCTGTTCCTTCTTTTGGTGCCACTTTGACTTGTGTTGAGGCTTCAGTCAAATCCTTTACCAATCCAATGGCTTCATCTTCATGTTCCTGTCTCTCAGATAGAATGTTAGTTTCATCAAATACTACATGTACACTTTCTTCTACACACAAAGTTCTTTTATTGAACGCTTTATATGCTTTGCTATGTGAAGAATATCCCAAGAATACTCCCTCATCACTTCTGGGATCAAACTTACCTAGGGAGTCCTTTCCATTGTTGTGCACAAAGCACTTACATCCAAATGTCCTAAGATGGGATATATTATGTTTTCTCCCTTTAAGTAACTCATAAGGAGTCTTCTCTACAAGAGGTCTAATCATGCATCTGTGTTTACAGCCTCTGCCCAGAAGCTATGGGGTAGCTTACTAGAAAGAAGCATAGTCCTAGCCATGTCTTCAAGAGTCATGTTCTTTCTTTCAACTACTCCATTTTGTTGAGGAGTCCTAGGGGCAGAGAAATTATGATCTATACCATTTTCATCACAGAATTCAGCAACTTTAGCATTTTCAAATTCAGTTCCATGATCAGACCTAATGGATGCAAGTTGATTTCCTAATTATTTCTGAATTTTTCTAACAAAGGCAGTAAACATGTCAAATGCTTCATCTTTAGATGTTAGAAATAGAACCCAGGTAAATCGAGAATAATCATCAACAAGTACCATTACATATTTCTTTCCACCTCTGCTCATGGTTGTCATTGGACCATAGAGATCCATATGGACCAGTTCCAACGACTTGGTTGTGCTTACCATCTTCTTGCTTTTGAAGGATGACCTTACCTGCTTACCCCTTGCACATGCCTCACAAACTTTGTCTTCCTTGAACTTGATGTTGGGTAACCCTATCACCAAGTCCTTGGAGACTAATTTGTTTAACTGATTCAGACTGACATGACCAAGTCTTTTGTGCCACAGGAGGGGATCATTATCCAACACACTTAGGCAGGTTAGTTCATTTTCAGAAAGAGTTGACAAATCTACAATATAAATATTGTTAACTCTTTATCCCTGCAAAACAATCTTGTCAGCGGTAAGGTTAATCACAAAGCATTTAGTAGAGGTGAATGCCACAAGGTTACCTCTGTCACAAAGTTGTGACACACGGATCAGGCTGTATTTCAAGCCATCTATCAAGTATACATTCTCAATGGAGTGAGAGTCTGTCTTACCTATCTTTCCAACCCCAATAATCTCACCTTTCTTCCCATTTACAAAGGAGACATTACCTCCCTTTAGGTCCTCAAGTGAAAGGAATTGGTTCTTGCTTCCAGTCATGTGTTTTGAGAAGCCACTATCCATGTACCATATTTGGCTACTTCCCTTCACTTGGACCTCTTGTTCATCATCTGATTCTCCAATAGCCATAAGCGCTTGTTCATCTCCAGCTTCATCTTCTGAGTCCTCGTCTAATGTTTCTCCCCAGGCAACAACAATAGCCTTTGTTGAACCTTTGTTCCTTTTTGGTTGAATCCGTTCCTTCTTCCTGTTCCTTCATTCAGCCCTTTCCTTTTTCCACTCAATTTTCCATTGAGGACAATTCTTGGTCATGTGATCAGTCTTGCCACACTTGTAGCAACCCTCATTAGTCTGTTTCTCAGGAGCCCTTGGTTTGTTGAAGGTTGTGCCTCTTGAAGATCCTTTTCCTCTCATCAGGTACTTTTTGAAATCTTTTGTGATCATAGCCATATCATCATCCTCCAGATCTGAGCCTTCAGCAATTCTGAGAGCCAGACTCCTTTCCTTCTTGGGTGCATCCAATTTCATGGTTTGCCTTCTCAGTTCATAGGCAGTAAGGTTTCCAATTAGTTCATCCAGCTTGAGAGTAGCAATATTCTTTGATTCCTGGATAGCAGTAATTTTGCTTTCCCAAGAGACTGGCAGAACCCTTGTTAAAATCTTCTCAACTTTGTCTTCCTCAAGGATAATCCTTCCAAGAGACTTAAGTTCATTTGTCAGTGTGGTGAACCTTGTATACATCTCTTGGATGGTTTCTCCTTCCTTCATAGTGAAATTCTCATATTGAGAATACAGAAGTGTTCCTCTAGATCTCTTCACTTGAGGTGTTCCTTCATGAGCCACTTGCAAAGTATCCCAAATTTCCTTAGCAGTGGTCCAACTTTGAATTCTACTGTACTCATCAGGACCTAGTCCACACACAAGCCATTTCTTGGCCTTGGCATTTTTCTCCCACTTCTTCAGGTTTTCAACAGTGCAATCAGCTTTTGTCTTTGGCACATCAACTCCATCAGCATTCTTCTTTGTGGTTGCTAGGGGACCATCAGTGACTATGTCCCAGAGTTCATAGTCTTCCCCTATGATGTGATCCCTCATCCTGTTATTCCACCAAGAATAGTACTGACCATTAAAGAGTGGACGCCTAGCAGTGGATTGCCCTTCCCAGTTCCCAGGTGGTGCACTCATGTTGATCTTTTCCTAAGGTGTTAGCCTCTTCAAGGATAACCTGCTCTGATACCAATTGATGTTCTAAACGTCAATACCAAACAAGGAGGGGGGTGGGGTTNNTTTCGTTCTAGAAGAACCTGGTTCTTCTAGGTATACTAACTCTACTGTTTGCGGAATAATAAGTACATAAAATAAAGAACATCGAGATTTTTACGTGGAAAACACCTGGCTCAAAAGGTGAAAATACCACGACCTACTACTCAGCAGGATTTTCCCAAACTTCCACTAAAATCACTGAGCCAAAAAAGCATTTACAAAACTCTTTGTAAACCTAAGGATTAACTCTAATCCCGTTGTAGCACACAACCTCAACGGTTTCGACAACTTTAAGTTAGCTTATAACTTGAACACTCTAAGTACCTAATATAATTGCTTCTATGAAAGCTGAAAGGTACAAGTTTAAATCACCTACTACAATTGAACTAGAATAAAAGAAAGACTCAATGGAATTGGTTCTTTTATCTCGGCCAAGTAGCTTCGGGAATGCACACTCAAATCTCACATAAATTGCTTGCAAAATTGCCTCGCTCTTTTGCTCTCAATTTAGTTTAACTTCTGAATTTGTGCAATGCCTGTAAAAGAGAACAATCACTGTTTATTTAATGAGTTAGTAATTAGAGTTTGATTGAGACTCAATTGCTGATCTTCTATCGAAGTTGAGTCCTTGAACAACACAAACTCCAACACTATCTTTTATCCAGATTGTGTTCTCTTCACATAAGGAGACTTTCTCTCCTTATCCCATATGCAACCTTTTCGATCAAATCAGGAGATATTTGCTGCTTGATCAATGAGACTTATCTCCTTCACGTGCATCTCACATGTGTAGGTTGATCATCATTGTGCTTCACATGATGGAACTGGTCCATGACTGAGTTCATTTGTCATTCTTCAAAACTTCACCTGTTCATGGGCCAACAACTACCACCACTACTAGGTCAACTCTTTCTTGCTCAATGATAGCAACTCTCTCAGTCAAGGTTTCTTTTTCCTTACTTGCACACTCAATGGTTTCTATTAAGTCCACCGCAACAACCATTTGATCATTTCTTTCATGTTCTATACTTGCAAATTTCTCTGCTAAGGCATTCTTTTCCTTTTTCAGGTTCTCTATTAGTTCTTTCAAATCGACTACAACGACTACTAAGTCATCTCTAGTTTGTTCAGCTTCCCCTAATTCCATAGTTAATGCATCTTTATCATTGATGAGACTATGGGCATGACTCAATTAGCACATTTGCTAATGACATAAGCTTTTTAGGAAAGTAAGATTTCATATTTCTCTGAACATCCAGAAAGTTTACCTCATCGCCGTCGTTATCTTCATCGTCATCAGATTGAGCCATTAGAGAAAAGATTGAATCATACTCAGTTGTTTCATTTTCCACTACCATCACTACCACCATGGTCGTCTTCTTCTTCAGATTCGCTGGATGAGTCTCCCCATGCAGCAAGAACTTGCTTTACAACATTGCCAGCATCATTCTTCCTCTTGTAGCGTTTGTCAGGAACCTAGTTCCTCTTGGCTGCTTTGTGAAAGTTGTTATTGTACTGATGTTGCTTTAGGAGGGGCAATCCTTGATGAAGTGTCCTGGCTTGCCATTTATGGCATAGATCATAATTTTTTGGCTTTCTAGAACTTCCCCTTTTTGGAATGCCACCATTCCTGCAAACCATCTTCTAGAATCTTCTTGTCAAGTAGGCCATGTCCTCGTCTTCACTGCTTGAGTCATTGCTATCCGTCTTGAGGACCAAGTTCTTTTCCCTCTTGGGCTCTCTTCTTTCAGTGTCCTACTTCTTCTTCGTTTCATAGCTTTTCAAGTTTCCAAGAAGTTCATCCATGGTCAGTGTCCGCAAGTCCTTAGCCTCTATAATGGTGTTAACTTTGCTTTCCCAAGAACTGGGCAGTACACTAAGGATTTTTCTAACAAGCTTGTTTCTCGGAATACTTTCACCAAGAGAGTGAAGCTCATTGATAATGGAGGTGAATCGAGTATGTATATCGTGGATGGATTCATCATCTTTCATTCTGAAAAGCTCATATCCAGTTGTGACCATATCAATCTCGGACTGCTTCACCTGAGTTATTCCCTCGTGGGCTGTCTGAAGTGTCTCCCATATCTCTTTTGCTGATTGACATGCTGATATCCTATTATATTCATTAGGACTAATGCCACAAAAAGGATTTTCTTGGCACGAAAGTTCTTTTCTATGGCTTTTCTATCAGTGTTATTGAATTCTTTCCTGGTCTTGGGGATGACTGCACCTGATTCACCAAGATTCTTGGTAGGGACAAAGGGTCCGTCACATATAACATTCCAGAGCTCAGAATCTTCAGCCATGATGAAGTCGTGCATCCTCGTTTTCCACCATCCATAATATTGTCCATTGAACCTAGGTGGTCTGTATGTAGACTGGCTTTCTTCGAAGTTTGGAGGAGCAGCCATGAGGATCCTTTCTAGGTGTTAACCTGATAGAAAGAACCCGCTCTGATATCAATTAATAGAATATAAGGGTCCACTAAACTCTATAGAGAACCAGGTTCTCTATCAGATTCAACAGTACACGCACTCACATGCACGACAATAAATAAATGACAAGAGGAATTTTACGTGGAAAATTCCTAGCTCAACGGGATTAAAAACCACGACTTACCCTTGTAGGATTTCAACTTCACTACTGAGCAACTTTTAGATTACAACCTATGCAATCTAAGAATAAACTCTTAATCACTCACTAACTTGTAATACTTTATTACAAGCCACTTTGCAATAACTCTATTACAAAGACTTTGCTACTTGACTAACTCTAGCCAAGACTTAAAAACACAAGTTTAAGGTTTACAAGGGTTTCCTAAGGAATGCTTCTTAAACAAGCGAGTTAGGAATTTCAATTTAAGAACTATTACAAAGTTACAACTCAATGAAGGACATACAATAACTCTATGTGGGAACTGGTCCGTAGTTGTTTTGTTCATTGTTCTTGAAGCACTTGACACTTGCTTTCTGAATGATCAGATGAGTGAGCTTGAGTGAAATCTCTAAATGTTCAAGTGAATGTATTTTACCTCCCTTCATTGTATATATACATGTGTGATATCACTTACAATGATGTAAACAAGGTAGGTAAAACGTCATCTCTGGAAAGTTGACTGCACCACTGTTCCTGCACTGTAGCGTGTGCAGGCAGCAGCTTTCCAACTGGAGAGTTGCCTTCATACAGTCTCCTCGGAACTGGTAGGGACCTGTTCCTCAGTTGTTACTTCCACTCTGAAGAGTTGAATCATATCCCACGCTGAATCCCAACCTGGAACCTTGTGATCTTAAGGTTTTGTAAATGTGTAACAAGTTCCTTATCTGCTTCTTGGATAATAAGATTTTTAGATCATCAAAACATAAAGCGAAGTACTTATAACCAAAGTACTTATAACCTTTCAATTTCCCCCTTTTTGATGATGATAAACTCATAATTAAAAACCTAGAAAGAGCCACATAGAACCAGATTGTGAACTAGAAAGGCCATAAGTTTCATCCTGAAACTCTGCATTCCCCTTAATCGGTACCTGAAAATGAGTTCCCCCTGAATATTTATTTCTCCCCCTTCAGATTATTATTCATTTATGCTCTTTACTATTCAATTAAATATGATCCTATATTGTTGTGCAATTAGAGAATTAGTACATGAGTAGTAACATGCAGATGTAACATGCACACTTCTTAATTAGTTAATCCATCAGTGTATTACAACAACAAGATGCATGCTTTTTGAGATGACATAGTGCTGATTGACGAGACGCAAGGAGGAGTTAACGCTAGGCTAGAGGTTTGGAGAGAGACTCTAGAATCTAAAGAGTTCAAGTTGAGCAGGACTAAGACCGAGTATATGCAGTATAAGTTTAGTGGAGTAACTCATGAGGAGGGATGGGAGGTGATGCTTGAATCTCAAGTCATCCCAAGAGGGCTAGTTTCAAGTATCTTAGGTTGGTAATTCAAGGGGACGCGGAGGTTGACGAGGATGTTACTCATGATATTGGAGTATGATGGATGGAGTGGAGGCTTACCTCTGGTGTCATCTATGATAAGAAGGTGCCACTAAGACTTAACGGTAAAGGTAAGTTCTATAAAGCGGTGGTTAGACCGACTTTATTGTATGAGGCAAAGTGTTGGCCAGTTATGAATTCCCACGTCCACAAGCTGCAAGTAGCAAGAATGGGGAAGATAAGATAGATGTTTGAGAATACTATGAGAGATAGGATTAAGAATGATTTTATTCAGGATAAGGTGGGGTAGCCCCCGTGGGGAGAATTTGTGGGAAGTGACGCTGAGATGCTACGGGCATGTTAGGAGGAGATGTCTGGAGACCCCAGTTAGGAGGTGTGAGAGGTTGCACATAGGGGGTCTAGGGAGAGGCAGAGGGAAGCCTAAGAAGTATTGGGGGAGAGATGATTCAGCATGATATGGAGCTCCTGCAGCTTATTAAGGACATGACTCTTGATAGGAAGTTGTGGAGGTCGAGGATTAGAGTAGAAACTTAGTAGGTAGTACAACTTATGTCCCTTTTGTCACGCCCCAAACCTGGGGAGGCATGACTGGCACTCGGTGACGCACTGGCCCGAGGGAACCACTCTGCAACATTTTTTTCTTTGTAAATATCATGGACCAACATGGCCGACTCGTAATGTACAACTGTAAGTGAGAAAATACTGTATTATTGAACCATTTTTCTTAATACATGAATACATATGGGCCGTCAAGGCCTCTGACGTACTGTACAAAATGAACCTCTGTCTACAAAGCCTCTAAGATTATTTGACATAAAATGGGACAGGGTAGCGGCCTACCCATAGGTATGTAGCAAAATTCTGACACGATGACTTATAGACTTGGCTGCACTCCGAATGAGGTGGAGTCTTGCTGATCCTTCGCTCAATGCTGACCTCATCTACTATGAAGGTTCGTCAAACTGATTATCTATACCTGCAAGCATGAATGCAGCGTCCCCGACAAAAGAACGTCAGTGCGAATATGTACTGAGTATGTAAGGCATGTAAATCAGTAGATAAAGAACATGGAAGAAACATGGAGTAAAGGACTCAACCTGTAAGTCTGGATAGTTCTGTAAATCATGAAATATTTATAAAACCATGCATTTGCGTATAAATGTCATGTAATGCATAGGTCTGTATGTCCATAATATCATCAAGTCTCTGAGGGCATCCCATCATATCATCTCGGCCACTGTGGACAAATCATCAACGTATACCAGCTGATCAGGTGATGGTGCGTATATAACGCTATAACCTTTCCCATATCCCATATACATATATATATATATATACCTGGACCAATTCTCTTGAAAATCCACCTAATATACGTCAAGTGCGACATATGCCTCGGCCACATCCCTATTTGCATTTCCAAGTTCTTTACTATCACTTTCCAGAGTCATCTCTTTCAATTCTAAGGACTTCCTCAGATTAGCTAGGGCCTCCTCTCTCCTCCCCAAATAAAAAATCAATAGAATACAATCCAATAAAAATGACAAATTTTGAAACCAACCCAAATCAGCTAATCAACTCAAGTACCATAAAACACACTGAATCTCCACAACATTTGTTCAAACCCATATCACATAGCAAATACTACCCACGAAATGCTTCAGTTTCAAGAACCCATCTCCCATAAGATTCAACAGTGCACTGAATTAACCAAAAACGTAATAACAGTAAATCTATTAACAAATCTTGAAATGGGTGAATTTAACTGAGGTATAATTTTGCATTAAGAAAAATAAAAGAAAACGAATTGGTTTTTTTTTTTTCTGATTTTTCAGTATAGTAGTGATTGGAATATAATTTTTGTGATTTCTTTTGAGTAGATTCGTGTTTAGAATGGCCAAAATCATTTCTTACGTGAAATGGCTTACGATTTGTCCACGTGCCTACTAGTTGGCTTATCTAAAGGAAAGTCATTCATGTGTTACTCTATTTATTGCCACGTGGAAGGGGATTTTTAATCATTATCTAATTATTAGTTAATTAAGTAATGTCTCGTTACCCGTTAATTAACCAATTACCCATAAAATTAAGAATTTTTTCGCCTTACATAAAACACTACTATGAAAATATTAAAATTTTAATAATTTATGGTACCATATAAAATCAATACATACACTATTATTTCATTAAAACATCCATGTAAAAATACATATATTTTCTCAACATTTAAATTTCCTAATCTTATATAAAGAGTACAAATTTTTCGTACGCTTAATTTTTTTAGAATGGTAAAAAGATAACCTTCTTTTCGTGTGAGAAAATAATTTCTATCTTTACAATAAAGAAAATCTCATAAACTTTCTCATATTATGTGTATAATTTATAACATATTCGAAAGTAGTAATATTAATAACTATATAAAATCATATTTTTTTTTCAAACTATTTTACAAAAATATTCCATTCAAAATACCATATATATATATATATATATATATATATATATATATATATATATATATATATATATATATATATATATGTATGTATATGTATATGTATATGTAACGATACCAAGGTTATTAATCTTACGGGGCGTAACACCTTTCTTACCGGTGGAGTGGATCTAGATTTTACGCTTGTTTTGGTGTGCTCTTTGCTATATTGCTTGTGGCTCGTTTTTGTTTAACTATCACGTTTGCCTATGTATCCTTCCCAACCTGTTCATCTTTATATGTTGCTTACTTTACTGATGTTTTTTATGCTTACCTCAGTCGAGGGTCTTCCAGAAATAACCTCTCTATCTTCACAAGGTAGAGATACGATCTGTGTGCATACTATCTTTTCCAGACTCCACTTATAAGAATATACTGGTATGTTATTGTTGTATTACAACAACAGCCACAATCATAACATGCATATGATATTTGGACCAATAAGTACCACCAAGTGGTTTAAATTTTTTTTAAAAAAAATAGGGGCTATAAAGTGGTTTTATGTAAAGTACATTTGTAAAGCGAAATCCCTTAATACGTCACCATAAAACTAGCTATGGAGTAGAATAGAGCCTTTTATATACAAAATTTTAAGGTTTTGTTGGTCCCATATTTCGAAAATTTATATGGTTAAGTGATTATTTGAAATTTTCATAATTGACAAACAATGACCTTCTTGTCTAAATACTCGAAAGTCGTTCAATTCTTCAACCTGAGAAGAAGGCTTCCCACTTGAAGTTTGAATTTCTTTGCTTTTTTATAATTTTCATAAGACAAGTGTCCCTTAAAAACATTGTATACGGTCAAAATCATATGCCCCCGATTTTGTAGGCTCTAGGGGTCGCATCGAG